CGTCTAGACTCGCAACAACTTGGTACTCACGTATCGTCAGCGAGATCAGCAATAATACACGAGCAGAACTGAGGGACGCGCACGCGCTTATTGAAAGATTAAGAAACAATTATTCATATATGTTCATATTTGTTGTTCAATATATTTTATATCTAAACCGATTGTTACACGTCCCTCTCGCGCTCGGCACTGCAACGATGAAAATACATTCAACAATTTATGATATACACAACAATTGTTTTATTTGTTAATTTTTGCCAATAGGTGGATAGTTTTATTACGAGTCGCGAGCAATCGAGACGAATCGCGATGAAAGCGCGATCGTATCATCTTCGATGTATATCGTCACGCTGATAATTCTACGATACGCGATACGACGTAACGGCATTAAAAGTTTAGACGCACTTGAAGCGGAGAGATGCCCGCGCGACACGTAAAGCTTCGAAATATCACCCATCGCCGCTAAATCGAGGGAGCGTGCCGTCGACAAGGAGGCGGAGGATATATCTCGAGCCTCGGCGAAATCCGACCGCGGTACGACGAGGCGCGACACACAAGTGTTCTCTTTTCTCTCCTCTTGTTTTTTAATCCTCTGTTTTTCCGAGCGCTTCGTTCCCCCGCGACAACTTCCGACAACCGCTCCCCTTTCGCTCATGTGTGTGTATGTACGTATGTTACGTGTGTGTGAATGTTTATGTATGTGTATCTGTGTGTGCCGATCTGTTTTGTACAAATATATACAAAAGGAGCCGCCCGCGCGCGCGCGCCTAAGAAAAAAAGAGGGCACCCCTTCCCGCGAGAGGATCATCGCATGATCGTCGCGCGGAAAAGGATCCCCCCTCGAGGGCGCGTCCAGCGAGTGCCTCTGCCTGCCTTTATTCCCCTTCGCTCTTTTCTTTTTTTTTAATCGTTTAGACATAGCGAGTATGTGGTTCCTATTTTGACGGGCGTGCCTTTTTCATCGGTGAAAATGAAAAACCAAAAGGCCCTCGACTTAAGGTCTAGCGCATAAACTAAAGGCGAAAGTGGACGTTGTACAGTCGGACATTATCATATTACATAATCCGCTTGTGCGGAGGTGACTGGATGGCGCGATGTGCTCACGTGTCTTACGTGACTCTTCTACTTTTTTTTCTTGTTATTTCCCTCCTCCCCTCCCCGAAAACCGGACGCGAGCGCGTGTGTAAGGAGCGCGAGTAAAAACGCAAACGTCGTGTGCCTTCGCGAGCGAGAAACCGAAGAAACAGATAAGGTAAGACGTCGTGTTGTCTCTAGACGTCAAAAATCGTCTTTCGGAGAGATGACGATATACAACTTCGTTCACGAGAATAAAGAGAGAAAGGAAGAGAGAGAGAGAGAGAGAGAGAGAGAGAGAGAGAGAGAGAGAGAGAGAGAGAGAGGATAATATATTATAAAAAAATTAAGACTAACAAATTCATAAGAATTACAGTGTCTGAAAAAATAGATATATTTGTAAAAAACTGTTTCTTTATATTTATTTTTATATTTTATTTTCTTAGGAATTAAAAAAGTCATTCGTAAAATAAATTACAATGTTTTGTAATAAAGTGTAATTGTTGTGATAATCATACTATATAACAACAATAAATAATTTAAAAAAACACTGAAAATAATTATAACGAATGAATCGTATCTGTATTACTTCCAGATATGTTTACGAGATTTTTTTTCGTGGCGAAAACATTTTTCCTTCTCCCTAATTCACGAAAGTAACAAACCTCGTTATCGCTGTCGCTTGTTTGTACACGCGCCATGACGGATGGGGATCAAGTCGATTGGTGTGATTAATACTCGTGAGGTGGATTAATTGTCAGGGATCGCTATAACGCGTCCAGCGCAGCGGAGAGAGAAACTCCTCGATTTCACGAGAGGTGCAATCGCAAGATTTATGAAGCCGCGACGAGACAATCTAAATCTTGATAATCAAGAGAAATTATTTGCTAAATAAACAATTATCCGGCGACATTGCGAGAAGCGAAGTTATAATTTTGTCTCTTAACTCGATTTATAAATCTTTAACAGACTCGCCGGATCGAAGGTTATTTTAACGCGTAGCAAGAATTAAATTATTTATATTTACATCACGCCAAAGCAATGTCCAAATAAAGCAATCTTCGTTATAATTACTGCATACCTACGTTATTCCTCACTATTTAAACGTATTTTTGACCTTTGCCATTTATCACCCGGAAAAAATGCGCGACTTGTGGGGCATTCGGTATACATATGTGGACATTTTATCTGGCGGTCAGTCCAGTTTCTTCCGCGCGTTCCACTTTATTTTACCCTAGCTAAACTTTTTTCTGTTTTCCGCCACATGTGCTCGATACACACGCTACATGACGTATATGGATGCTTACATCTGTGTGACAAGAGGACAAGACAGACAGATACGTGTAGGAGGTGAGACAACAGGGAGATGATGGATCCCGTTTTGCATCCCGCGTCAATTTTTACGCGATTACAAAGAAACCTTGTCAAATGATTGAAACAGTTGCTCCTTTTAAAGAAAAATATCAGGAGATTGATAATCTGTGAAAAATCTTTAGGAGATTAAAACGATTAAAAAAACGCCATAAATAATTTTGATGAATCACTTGACCTGAATTTTATTTTAATTTAAAATTCACGTAAAATTCCCTAAAAAATTGCCAAAACATTTTAAACTGATGTTTCAATAAATAAAAAAAAATGGTAATTGTAATTTCTGTCCAATTTTCAGTTTGAATTTAAAAAAATTTCATTTACGTCGTTCAAAATTCTGAATGTTACAGAATTACGTTCTCTGACGAATTGACATGCCTCAGAATGAAATGTTCTTGCAAAATTACATCATAAATTAAACTATACAATATATTAAATTGTAATTAAACTTTTAATGGGATTTTAATGAGCCGATATTAACGCTTCCGAAATAGTTGATAATCGCAATAAATATCTGACCCCTGACTTCGATCCCACGTTTCGCTTTTCGCGAATTAGATTCACCCTCGCCCTCGCTCTCGCGGAGGCGGCGGACGCGGGCGTTCGCGCGGGCCGCTGAAGAACCACCCTCTTCTGTGCGGAGGAGCGACGAAGGGGATGCGCTCGAAGACTCGCTGACGAAGAGAGAGAGAGAGAGAGAGAGGGGGGAGAGAGAGAGAGAGAAGAGATGGAGAGAGAGAGAGAGAGAGAGAGAGTGGGCCGGGGTAGCGATGGAGGGATTCGGCCGAAGGTGGAAGTTGCTATGCTGTTCGACGTGGAGAGGGTGAGGGTGAGAGAGGTAGAGACAGGGTGGCGCGGTGGTGCGTCGCTGGTGGAAAGCGGGAAAGCCTCTCCGAAGCGACCACCCACAGTTCACTGCGGCCTCGCGAGCCGTGTGAGCCACAATAACGTTGGGCATTTCGTCTCGTGCCGTTCAGTCGCTCGCTCGGCTACCCTGGATACACACTCGACTTCTTCCACCATGTAAACAAAGCGCCGGGGGTGCGTACGCGTCTCCCACACACACGACGTGGATCTGAGAAACGTCCGCGATGTAACACGTGACGAGGGATCCGGGGATGGAGGCTGCTGTCAATTGCAAAAAATGAGAAAGTAAAAGTGACATTTTTCTGCAAGAATAATACGTGGTGCCGAGTGCTAAAATGGAGGTATTTCGAACCCAGGACGTGACTTTTTGCTGGCAAGATCGATGATGGTGGAAAGTTCAATTCCAATCTGCTATTCCCGTGAACATCATGATATTATTATGAGTTTACTGAGGTCGGAAGATGTTTTGCTCAAAGACTGAGGGACTTCAAGCTTCTTCTCTCGGACCGTAACAGCTGTAACAATCGTTGGATCCCGAAGATGTTCCTATCCGATAAATTCAAGATTGATGGTCCAACTTTGATTTTCATAACAAGTTCGATCTGCTAGACGTCACGACGATCGCCTACACGTGTTTCTTCCGAGAGTGTATACTCATTAATCGAATTATTAAGTTGGATATTTTGCAACAATTCTCCATTGACAAGCTTTTAAATGAAAAATTCGGAGTTATCCAAGTTGAAAAAGATCACGAGATCCGAATTTAGCTGAAGCGTTTCTCTCTCTCTCTCTTTCTCTCTCTGTTTAATCGAAACGAACAATTCACCAATCATTTCTTTCACGCCATGGCTTTCATCGGTTTTATCGTGTGCATTCGCCGCTCGTAATCGGTGATCAATTGTTGCGACTCCGATATTGCGTGACCTTCGGATATACAATCGCCATTAAACACTTCGATGAAGTGATACGTCATCCTTTCGCCTTCGAAACTATCGGATTGTAATTACATCCTTTCTGCTGGCGGAGCTAAGACGGATATAACGGATGAGGGGCTACGAGGACCCTGTTTATACTGGGACGAATTAAGTACACAGTTAACGGACATTCGAGAAGATAAACCCTGTAAACCCCATCTCCGACGGTTCTGTCGACCACGTGTTTCGTGTGATCTTCACGGTGGTGTGCGAGTGTTATGACGAGGTGTAACGGTGTGCGAAGTCTCGAGATAACGATGCTTTAAGTGTTTACCGCAAAGTCGGTAGCTATCTCCCGTTAACACACATTGGCGATCTTACACGATCATTCACGCGCATCACGTGTTACCGTCTTCAAATTCATCATCATTCCCCTAGTTGAAAAGGCGCTCGGATGTACCCTTTGTGGGGCGGGGATACCGGACAATTAACGAAAATTATCCGCTTGATAATATTTTCGACGAGATTAAATTGAGATTGATAGTTTAGGTCAAAGGCATTAATATACATGTTGTATAACAATGACACTCGGTAGAGGTATCTTGTAATTATGCAAACTATCGGGTACGATTATACGCGGCACGTTATCTGCGCTTCCTATCTGCGATGATCGCAGATATGTCAACTATGTTTGGTAACGTTTTAGTTTTCAGTTCAAAGCGATAACGCGAGTAGTCAACCGTACACAGGCATGATTTCTCATGACACTGAGCATAATAATAATTAGCACTTTCGCTACACCAGAATATTTCAAGAAAAGAAAACGGTCGAACAAAATTATTTTTCTTAACGTAATTTCTCTACGAATTTATATAAGAAATTATTTTATGTTACTTATTATAAAGACTTATTATTTGTTTCTCGTCAATGCAAAAATTATTCCTGGTTACGCCACACCGTCGATCGTATCTGATTTATTCCTAAAGTAGAATGATATAAATTAAGTAGAATAAAAAGGAATCTTCTCGACACAAAATCAAAATGGTAAGAGATAATTATTGGATTCCCTCATCAATGCAACATTGTGATTTTAATTTGAAGCATTGTTGGACACAATGCTATCATATAAATAATTTGAAACAAATTGTGATGTTATAGGTATATGATACTTGGTGGCGAAAGTGTTAATGCGGTTTCACAATCTTATTAACAATCATGATCAGAAAAACACGAACAAAAATTATCATAAACTGCGCCGTCGCAGTGTAAACGAAACAAGCTATCAATTCACCGACTCGGCCGCGTGTTTGCGCTAAGACAGGACAAACACAATTCACTCGTTCGAATATAAGCTCATAATGAAATCAAGTGTATATCGCACAATGTCACGTTTTCCCACGAACCTTGCATTAAACGACGAAGAACTTTACTTTCTTAAACGAACAGCAAAATGTGATTAAATAATCTCGATTAACTGAAAGAAACAATCGATCGATAATGACTGGAGAAATGATAATAAACGTTCGAATAATATCGAGTGTATAACCGATGAAGATGCCGTTACCCGAAATCTCTATTAATCAACGTGAAAAACATTGTGACATTATTTTCGTGCGTCGGAGAAATTGTCATGAAATTGTCATGCAAATTGACTTTCTTGCGGCGAATAGGACGCGCCGGGAGTGACTCGGAATCGGGGAACGAGCGTAGGAACTTGCAAGGTAAGATATTGACTTTCTGATGCAGCTGAAATATCGATGGGATACAAGTGTATCGAATGTTTGTTTATCTTCGATACGACATAAGTATGTTTGCATACTTATTTGGCTTTAGCTAATACGTAGTGTTTATCTTTGCGATCGCATGATCCGCCAATCTCAAACGAATGCCTGTCTCAAACGAATCGCGTCCGACGGGCACGTTAGTTAATTCGGCAAGATAAATATATATACGAATTAATTTGCTAAATTAATATCCGGTATAATTGTGTGTGTACTAAGTTTTGCGAAATGCTATAAATAGATCTACATCTAGCTACGAGACACACGAACAGTTTGTGTCTATACTGTCGAATCTCCGGAATCAATATCGTATAAAGAAGACTGCAGGTATTTGCATTCCTCACGAAAGTATTAATAAGAATTCGCAAACTCGCAAAATTAGACGTATAACGTGTAGGTACTCGTATATTTTTTTTCCATTACAGAAAATGTATTTTTAAATTTTAAAAAGGAGTAGAAGCAATCGTTTAATGAGTATTTAGCAGAATTTTATATTTTTTGTAGCATAATCTTAGGCATCGAATTCATTATTTTGATGCGTTGTTGCAATATCGCTTTATATAGGAATTCCTTTTAAATCCCCCGCTGTTACGCCGTAGCTCTCTGACATTCGAATCAATTCTCAAATTATTACTACTGTCGATAATTGAAATTTTTTTTTTTTACGGTTACATCAAACGTGTAATATGTCCGTAATGCAGGAGAGAGCAAACGCGAGTGCATTGAGTTGAATTATTTCGCGAAATGTTGAAATTTTCTGTCAGATGCCGACTGAAACAATCGCGTCGCGTTCATTCCATGCGTGCCGATCGATTTTCGATGTGGCTGACATAAATGTGAGAGCTGCCTCTACCTTGAAACTCATTATTGCTCATATATGTAGCTATTTTCATCATTATGTTTTAGCTGCCGAGAATAAACAATTGCAGTGTTTATTGTTTATTCATTCACCGTGCAGTAAAATTCATCTCCTTGATCTAAAAATCTCATCTTTCTCTTTCTCATCTTTCTCAATAACACAGCAAAAGTTGCAAAAGTAGAATTTTATTTTTAACTTTAATTTGATAGACACATAAAATTTTATTTTTAATTTTATAGATACATTAATTAATTATAATTAAATTAATAATTAACAAATAAATTACGGGTAACTTTTTAGTTTGCTGGTTAGCTATGCTCAACATAATTACAGTTCACATTATAATTAAAACATTTTTTGCTATCCCCATTACGACTTTTAAAGTTTGTAATTATATACACGTTAATTATTAATTTGACGTTTATAATTGTATATGAAACTCTGCCGTGCAAATTGTCTGGGGTTCGGTCACAGTTTGTCAGTAAATTTGCTTTACAAACAAATTAAAGCTATCATTAAATCGTAAAAATAATTTCAGAAAAATTAAAAAGATAAATAATAATAAAAATTAGATAAATTAATTACTTTAAAACTATACTTCGAGACAATATATTGCACCGTGGATTTTAAATTTACTGGAAAATAATTTTACGAAGCTACAACCTGTGGCTAAATTACGTATGCTTCGAGGAAATCAATTCGCCTTTGAAATTTTCATAAGGTTACGGTGTCGCGCGGTTGTCAAAGGCGTCGCGCGATGCCTTTCTGCGATCTGATTAACGTAACATACACGTACGATACACGCTCAAATGCCGTACGACAGCGGTAAATAGCAAACTAAATGTAATAATAGAAGCGAGTTCTTACCTAAGCGCAGAATAGAGCACATTTAGCGTTGTAAAGCTTCTCGTGTTATATATGATAAAGACGCAACGAGATTACGGCGATGCCAGTGACCTTGTATTGCAGACAAAGAATTGCAAATATGATTTAAATATTAATAATGCAATTATTACATAGTGAGAATCTATAATAATATAATATATGAGACTATATGATATATATATTACGTTGGAGAATCTATATTATATAATGTGTTAATGTATATAATATCTGTAGATATAAATTTAATTACTTTAATAATATTGTATTAAATGTAATAGAATATTCGAGTTTTCTCTCTCTCTCTCTCTCTCTCTCTCGAGTAAATATAATATAAAAGCTTCGGAATTACATATTTCCATGTATTTTGCATATTTCTAGTTATAATTTTTCTTTTTTTATGTATATATATATATATATATATATATATATGTATACGCACAATATTTTTTACATACCATTAGCATATTTGTATGTCGCTAGAAAAATATAATTTTACACGTGCTCGACGATGTTCTGACAGGAATATCACGAAGCCATTTAACATGGTTTCGACTTTTTAACGAGTTCTTGTTTTAAAATTCACGTTAACTTTCCAAGTCTCATCGTGCATTATTCACTTCTGCAATTTCTTATTACGAGAGTTCAGCCGCGTTCTACACAAAGATTCGGTCGTAAATTTCCATACTTGCGAATCTTATTATCGTTATTTGAATAAAAGTTGCGTACTACACGCGATTGGCCGTTTTTATTCGCGAATTAAAATTCGCCTTACTTCGAATTCGAAGATCCGTAGAATTTCCATTCGCGATTCCACCGCAAATTGTCATCTGAACTTTGCAGCTATTTTTGCCTGGAGTAAAAACCTGATTTTACATTCAAGTCATGAAAATAGTCGAGAAAATATAAGAGAGACAATAATAGAAAATTGCTAGAATAGAACATTAATAAATTATAGTACAAAATATATATGAAATACATAAATACAAAATATATGTAATAATATCTAAATAATTTTTTAGCTATATCGTATTTATATGAAACGTATATTTTTATCTTCTTTTGGGCGCCACATATCGTTTCGAATCATTCCACATTCACGCTAAAATTGGTGGTGCATTAAAGATGGCGAATCCGGGCTGTTGCGCGGAATCGCGTCGCGGAAACGGAAATCGCAATTCGCGAACGACATCTCGTATTTCGCGCTCGTATTTCGTACTCGTATTTCGCGTTCGTATCGCGGCAAAAACGCAGAAATGATGTTGGCGGCGGTATGCCTCTATGATTACACTAGTAAAACATCCACACGTTTGATCCGACGTGGTAAGGTGAGCCGTTTTTCGGGAAATCCTAGAAGCTTGATACATAATTTATCGTAAAATGAGATTATAGAATAAAATATATAGAACCGCGTCTCTATATTTGCACCCGCGGTTAGAATATTTTAATTCCCCTTCGTTTCGGGTCAACTTCATACCGCGCGCCGCGCCGCGGTTCAGGTTGCTCCGACAACCGCCGTGAAGTTGACACCGCGGCCGACGTCAGTTCGCGTCGAAGATGGCGAGAAGACGCGCGCGCTCCTCGCTCCTTTCGACGCGGGGATTCGGAATATTACGCGGCATCGTGCCGCAGAAGTGCAAATTGCTGATCGCGGACGGCGCTTCGTGTTTCGTACTCGTGTTTCGCGCTCGTATTTCGCGACGTACGTTGCACAAACGCGGAAATGGCAGCGGCGACGGCGACGGCGACGCGGACGGGGCGACGCGACGGTGTGCCCTGCAGTCACGCCAGTGGAACATCGTTTGATCCGACGCGTGAAGGCGTATACGAGTATATACATATATTGCAAAATAAAGTTTACGCGCAACTGGAATACGTAGAATCATATATCTGTACACAAACAGCATTTCCCTTTCTCTTCCCTGTCGAGCGAATTTCACGTCGGGGGTTTAGTTAGATATTCTCTCGATATTCTCTTTGAAATCGGTGACGATGCCGCGGCAGACGGCGCGATCGAGCGCGCGCGGTTCATTTGCACGCTTCCTCGCAGTTGTGCGAAAATCCGACGGGGAGTCGTGTAAACGGAAATGGCGATTTACAAACGGCGCCTCGTACTTTGCAGCACGCGTGCGCGCATGTCGTACTCGTGTTACGCTCTCGTATTTCGTGGCATGTACGGAAATGACGGCGACGGCGACGGCAATACTTTATGTTCGCGCTAGTGGAACATCCGCGCGTTTGAGCCGACGAGAAGTGAAGCAAAGTGAGGTAAGCCGGCTTTACGATGTCGACGTACGTTCATTTTCCTTTCGTGTTTCGTATTACGAAGCCTTCGCTCTACCTACAAAGCTACCGGATCTTATTAAATCTTGGTGATTGTTCGTCTTTTGAATTATTCTCTGCGTACTTTTCTCAGATATTAAGAAACGTGGTTGTGCTACGTAATGTATAATATAAACATATATATACATATATATACATATATGTGTGTATATGTATATAATATCTATCTTGTGCTATCCTTCTTGAAATATAATAAAGAAATATAGAAATGTACATTTAACTTAAATATTAAAATATATTGTTTAATATTTAATACAGTATTTATCTATATGTAATTATCCATTTTTTTAAATTATTTTTAAAAAATTTAAAAAAAATATATATATTATTTAAGCAGTATATTAAATAAATAAATAAATACTTTTTTAGATTTGTGTTCAAATTTTAATAAAACAGTATTGTATATATTTTTTGTTAGAAATATAATAAAAACTTAAAATTACACATATTTATTTATTATCGCTTCTAATTTTCTTGTGCATCGAAAATTTATTAAAATATATTATTATTTGTAACTTACAAGTAAAATTATAAATGTAATTCAAAACTATAAATTATAATTAGATAAATATATTAAGGTGGTTTTATCGTTCAACGCCAACTCAATAGTGTGTTGTCACATAAACGTCACACAATTGCATATGTACAGTCTATGCAAAATGTTTTTATTGAATTATTAGTCAAATGGAGGGATTAACTTTTGACTGGGACTTGCTCGATAAAACCACCTTAAGGTAAAATTAGAAAATAATATATATATATATATATATATAATGATAAAAACGTAAAAATATAAAACTAATTATAATAAAAAATTATTATAAATAAATATAATTTGTACAATTTTAGAAATGAAAAGAATGTATGACATAATATTATTAGTGGACAAGATATAATTGTAAAAAAAAGTGCAGCGCAAATTGCATTCAAACGATCGTGATATTTAGGTAATTATTTCACGCTAACAATTACATTACACGTTTCGTGTTCCGGGAAATTATTAGTCGGGTTAATAACAAGCCAAGCGATTTTTCTCACGTGAGAAAAATTATTCGTGAATCAACTTTTCCACCGTCGTCGCGAAATTTTTATCATCACGCGATGAAGCGAGTGTCTGTGTATAACTTCACGAAAATTTTTCCCTTTTTTTTCATCGAGATTGTCGACTGTCACTGAATTTTTCAGGACAGTTATGGAATTCCAGCGGCGACATTTCGCGCGTTTCGCGAATATGATTAGCTCGACAATATATTGCATATGAAAATTTGATGTATATTTTTCACTCAGGTCACTTTATTCAATTTTATCCTGGATTTCTGCAGTTTTATTTAAGTAATGTAAAAGTTTATAGTTGAATTTTTGTAGCAATACGTTATTATTTTTCTGTCTACTTTTCTCTGAAACAAGTAAAAATCAGTAATCTGGAAAAGTATATATAATATTTGACAATAATATTGTTTAATTCAATAATTACGTATTATCGTCAAATTATTAGGTTTATTAATAATTATTATATATTTTTCGTTTACTCCACTGAAAACAAATTTCTTCATTAATTCTTCATTTATAGTAACTTTTTTTAAAATTAAATTGTGAGAACAAAAGTCAAGAATAAATTTTTAATAGAATATTGAGATTGAAAGAATATTTAAAATACGTTAAAAATAGGAAACTCATCACTAACGTACCTATAGTGCACGAACATCTTCGTTATGGACAAGTCGACAAATTATTTAGAGAATTCATGGATGAAAACTCGCCGCAGATCTAGGACACTCTGTGTTGGACAGATCTATAAATATCGAGAGAAATATTTCATGTTACGGTCGCAAATAAATATTGCGTCCGATTTTAATCTGGCTTGTACCGAAATAGATAGAACAGCCGATAGAATCGGAACTCTTTAGAGAGGTAAATTTCTTAATGCGGCGTTGCGAGGGAACGTCAATAATATATATTCCGTCATCCTACATATTTCAATCCGGTTTGTCACGGTAAAGGATTTTCTCGCGTTTGGCCGTAGGAATCGTTCGTTTTTAGATGCGCTTTTCTGTACTCCCTGCATATATATATGTATGAAATGACACAGACAGGTATAGAAGTGTAGAAGTATAAGAGTGATGAAGAGTGCAACTAAAATGGACGACCTTATATTTATAGAACTATATTTTTGAAACGAATACGTCTTTTATCTATTTCGAGGACATGTTGACGTTAGTAAGAAGAATATGCATATCTATAATAATTATTATTATAGATATCGTATTATAGGGCGACTATGATGTATTTTCGATAACGCTTCTATTTATCGCATTCATTTATTGAACGTATTTTCTATCGCTGTTTACGTAACTTTAAGATATTTATTTATTAAATACTACCTCGTTTATCATTACCCTACCGTCGTTTACGTTATTATTCTTAATCATTTCTATATATTCATGATAGTTAAATTTTCACGGGATGACGCCGTAATGATTAAATTCTAAATTGTGAGAATTTCAAATAGCATTTAAGCGTTATACGGACGTTCGGCCGCGTGTAAATTTGTGTTTGTTGTTTCTATTATAGCCGATATACACATATCGCTTTAGCATTAGATCGTATTGTCACGACTTGTTATCCGCGTGCGCCTCGCGTAGATCCTCGTGTAAATCCAATTTCGACAGAACATACGAGCATATTCCTGCGGTAAATCAACGGCCTTTTAACGCGGATTATGTGCTCGTACATCGCCAGAATACGTCTAAATACACTGACTGTGGATAATTCAAATTATTTGGAATATTTACGACGGAGAGGGATTTATCCAGTGGCAAATTTACCTACCTACACTAGTTGAATCCTAAGTACAGCAATTCAAATATTGCAAATTTAAATCTCAGAGATCTCAAAACGTTACAAGTTAAACATCACAATTTTTAACTAAACTTGTAAAATTAGTTAATTACACAGACGTAAAATTCCTATTGCTTATTTACACATACACTTTCTTGGATAAAATCAATAAAATTTAAATTAAAATACCCAATTAATAATTAAATTTTTTAAAATTAATTAATAAAATTCAAATCATTAGAATATATAGAAACGTTTATTTTAACAGTGTGACAGTTTCTTTAACTAAAAATCGACTTTAAAAATTATAAAGTTATTATAATATACAAAAAAGAATAAGCACGAAATTTTAATAATAATGTTATGAGAATTTAAATCTCAGGCGTTTATAAACATTGATTAATTTTTAATTAGCCTTAAAAAAGCCGTGTTATTGCCCGAATAAACGAGAATCCGGAGACGTGGAACGTGGTTCCTTCAACAATGAAACTATTGGAATTTCTAGATCCCCAAACATTAGCCAATTTTTAATTAACCAACTTTGATGAAGTATATTGCAAAGAGTAAGCGAATAACATGTTTTTATCTACAATGACGTCATTGAAAGTAAAATGTCATGAGTTTTATGAATAATAAACAATTTTTAATTAATTTTAATTATTTTTAATAAGGTATTATTGTTATATGGGATAAGCAGAACCGTGTTCTTTAGTAGCAAAACTATTGGAATTGAAAATTCAAACTCCAGAGATGACAATGTTTAATTAACTAACTTTATTAAAGTTATATTAACGCGAAAATAGACTGAGCAAAATAACGTTTCTCCTAACAGAGCAATTATTAAAATTAAAAGTCACTAAAGTTATTAACAATAAATCATGTTTCACTAACTTAAAATATTTATCAAAATTTTTTTAAAATTAATTTTAAATACGATAGGTCATTTTTGAGATTATTTTCAAAATTCGTACGTAAAAGACAAGAGCATTCGTTATTATATCTTCTACAAATTGATCTTTTATATTATTTATTTATATGAATTAATTTAGAATTATTAATTTAAAAGTTGTTTCACACGTTGCGATATGTCGCAAAAATAAATACAAATATTCTAATATATATACAAATCGAGTACACAGTTATGGATACACAAAACTTGTAAATATGTAAGACTGGAATTTCGCATACATTTAACATTGTTGCAGTGTTTACTTCGTTTTATATTCATATTTGTGCATATTTTGTTCGCAGGTTATCGTTGCATGAAGACACTTTAAAATCTGTGAAAAATGTGCCGCATGAAAATCCCATTTGGACGTCAGTTCGGAATTCGGAAGAAAATTCTAGTCTGTGACTGTCCAAAATAACCAGCAACAGCAAAATATAAGGAGAGAAACTTTGCTGCAATCATGATTATGATCGCAAGGAAAATCTATATAAACGGACAATCATTAGCTCAAGAAGACCCAAGTATACGAAGCGCCTAGAAGCTCAAGTACCAATTTACCCAAGTAGTTTAACAGAGCTTATTTTCCGAAATGCACTCTCGCCTAATTTCCTTATTTTGTATCTTACTGACAAGTGAGTCACATAAAACTCCGAAGTAAATCATCTTAGATGGAGCAAATTAAGAACCTCGCGATCTACAACGTCGCCTAGGCGGAACCATAACTCGACTTTTGTAAATGGATCGATCGCAGCACGTCAGCTATATCAAGGAAGAAGCGGAAGAAGGCGAGAAAGAAGTCGTCGAACGACGGTAGCCAGTCGAAACGTAAGAAAAACCCCGAGTTCCTCAAGATGAGCTTCAACGAGACGGATGCGAACAGCACCGCGAACAATTCCCTTCTCGACACCGGCCAACGAAACATCGAGGACGTCCTCCTGCTAACTTTCAAAGCCTTCATTATGATATTCATCATCCTCTGCGCGATCCTCGGCAATCTATTGGTCATCGTCTCGGTGATGAGGCATCGCAAGCTCCGGGTGATCACCAATTACTTCGTGGTCTCGCTGGCCCTGGCGGACATGCTAGTGGCGTTGTTCGCCATGACGTTCAACGCTTCCGTGGAACTTTTCGGACGTTGGTTATTCGGGTATTTCATGTGCGACGTGTGGAACTCGCTGGACGTCTTCTTCAGCACCGTCAGCATCCTCCACCTTTGCTGCATCAGCGTCGACAGATATTACGCGATCGTCCAGCCGTTGGACTATCCGTTAATCATGACGAACGTGAGACTGGGAACCATGCTGAGCGTCGTATGGTGTTCCCCGACTGTTATGAGCTTCCTACCGATCTTCGCGGGGTGGTATGCTACGAAGGAGCATCTGGAAGACAGGAGGAACACTCCGGATCAGTGTTCGTTCGAAGTCAACAAGTTCTATGCCATCGTCAGTTCCAGCGTGAGCTTTTGGGTGCCGGGTATAATCATGATCGCGATGTACTACAAGATTTATCGCGAGGCCGATCGTCAGGAGCGCATGCTGTATCGGTGAGTCGTTTCCTCAATCTCTTGTTAGTACTATTATTACGGATGAAACTTTAGATCCTGATTAATTAATATCTTCAGCCAGTATAATAAGCCCTTAAAAATCTTATTTTTATAAATTTCTAATTAATATTAATACTACGTAAAGCGTGAGATGAGAGATTACATTTTTATCGTCTTTGAACAACAATTCATCATTAATTTCTCTTATCGCTATAAGTATAATATAATATAGGAACGTGAAATTAATAATTATAGTAAATTTATTATCGCGTATTACATAAACGTGAATAAAAAAAGTGCATAAATCAATGTTTTATCATAGAAAAATCTTTTGTATCAAAAATATCTTGTTAGGCGTGAAATATGGACATACATATTTTCTGCTACTTACATTTTCTGCTACATTGCGTAAATAATATAATTTGACAAACGTGGCGTATATTTGAAATATGATCGCTCGTTTGTCACTTTAGCTACTTTCTCAAATTATCCGTTGTCAAATAATCTAATGTAAGGATATAGCAAGTGTGTTGTTACAATGGTTGGACGATATGTGGTCATTAAATCTCCGAAAGCACTTTTATATTTGGAAGAGGAAAAAAGAGGGTGGGAAAGAGAGAGAGAGAGAGAGAGAGAGAGAGAGGAGAGAAAAAGAAGAAATGAAAAAGAAAGAACTTGCCATTAGTTTCTTCCAAAAGAATTCCAGTTCCATCCAAAAGATGCTCCCGAAAGCTTCGTGCTGTTCTTGAATGTCCAATTAGAGTAAAAGGCGCGAAAAAAGGTAGAGACGAGTGGTCGACCAACAACAAATGTACTTTTCAAGAGGAAGAGAGAAAAAAAGTATTTCGAAATAATGCTTCGCTATTCGTTCCCGTATTGTGCAACTTGCACGTCATTACAAGCTTTAAATCCTTCTTTTTATTAAACAAAATTTTTAATATACATATAATAATAATAATAATAATATAATATTGTAGTAATAACGTTTATATATAATACGACTGTTGTTTCGTTGCGTCAGGATAGTAATTTCATATTTTTTCAATTTTACTCGGCAAATACGGTCTACATTTTAGCAGAAGTAAATTTGAATCACAATTACAAACGCAAGGGACTGATTGCCAATAAAAATAACACTTTCCAACAGTTATTTTTGTCGTGAGCGATGCTATCTTCGCTTTATAGTTTTCCGCGTTCGATCGATGCGGCTCTCGGCTCGCGTCTTGCGCGACCTTGCCGCAAAGTTTTCTGTATTTTCATAAATTACATATCCGCGGTACGTCGCGTGTTCGCTCTTTATACTATAACGCGGACCACGTCGCGCTTCGCGCACACACGTCATTCCGTCGCACTTTGAATGCGCCACCAAGACACCCCGTCCCGTTTATGAATGCCAACGGGAAAATGCGAATGCGGAATAAAATGAAAATTTAGCGTTGCTCGCGAATTAGCTGTATTAGCTGTCAAAGGAATCACCGAAACGAAATATAAAATTATGGCTTAATAATTGAAACGCGTAAGAGTATCTTCTAATTCTAATTCTATTTGAATTCAATAATTTTATAAAAATTAGAAAAACTAAAAATTAAAAGATATCAAGCATTGAGTTTTAGTTGATTTTTAATGTAATATAATAAAAGTTACTAAAAATAGCTTTATCCTAATTTAAAAATAACGTTTATTTAAATGTTAAAGTAACATGTATTTGAATATTCCATTAATGTATTTTTTAAATATTGAACTTTTGAAGTGACGTCTATTTAAATTCGATATTTTAATAATTATTAATGCTTCGACATTTTTATAAACAATAAAATAGTCATCCTTTGTTCGTCACAGTTTGCAGTGCTGTTAATTAAAGATTTTTGTAAATAAGGGTTTCACGTGGGTTGATTAAAAAGTCGACTAGCAATCGAGATGACTTGAATTTAAAAATAAAATCTAGACTTTCGTAATCTGGATTAAAATCACACCACAAAACTTTCAGTTTTGTGATGTAAATAAATGCAAAGTGCCAGAGATTAGTTCCATTTAACATATGAGCGACAATAGGAAAATGTGAATTGAATGAAATGGAAATTTCATGTCGCTCTCGAATTTGCTGTGTTCGCAAATGTTAAAGAAGTTGCTGAGACATCGACGAAGCCGTGGTTTGCAAAATATCAATTTAAAAAAAAAATTATGTACGGTTTTCACATTATTCAATTATAAATGATGAATAACGTAAACCGCGAATAAAATGAGAAAGATTTCAACAAATATATAGTTCCGTTTCAAAATTTGATTTCAAATCTAATTTTGTGATTAATAAATGTGTCATTTGTGTGTACACGCAAAGTGACGTTTAAAATTTTAACAGATTATCGTGACAATCTCATTATCATATTTAGCACGAAATTAAAGTCATGTTGGTCAGCACATTACAGTAAATTTGCCCTAACAATAAGTGACTCTGACGTTTTCAATATCATCGCGAGTTGCAATCTTCGAAGCGGGATTGTCTTGTCTACTGACGATTTCAATCTGAACCAGTTCTGGATGTGGTGCCAAAACTGATATCGCTCAGTGTCGCGTTGAGAGACGAGTATCAGTTTTGCGTCTCGCTTTTGCGGGAGCGCGCCGTAAATTTCGCAAAATCGATTGTGACTGGCGAGCTGGAAAGCCACATTCGGTTTACGAATGTGTGCAACATGTTTGCAGCATGTTGTAACGGGTTTAGAAACAACGCACTACGTGATATTTACAAAATGTCATAAACGTAGACCGAATAAAACATTTTATTCGAATGTTCGCAAATTTTCCGCAGTTTGTTTTCGTTTTAAAATTATTCGGCTTGAATATATTAATCTAAAATTTAAATTTGATGAAGAGCCATCGAAAGATTTGTAATTTCGAATGATAAAATTTTGTGTCAAAAATTCTTCAATTTAAAATAAAAGGAAGTTACTTTGTGAAATGCGAGAAAAATGTTTATATTGTTATCTTAAACTTTAATAAAAAATGGAATTTAGAAACAATTTAAACTAAAATTTAAAAACATTTTCTAAATTTTTATTTGCTTTAAATTAAAAATTATTTAATTCAAATATGTTAATTAGAAATTTAATCTTTAAGGTGTATGTACATATGTCAAAATTTTAAAATTTATACAATTTTTTTATACAAAGAAATATTTTATACATAGAAAAAAGAGAACTGACATATATAAAAGATTGTAAGTAATATATTATAGTAATATATACATATTTCTCTTTTCTATTTTTAAATAAAATTTTTCTGAAAACAGTGATGGCAAATTTCGCCCATTTTTTGGACCTCGAATTTCAAACTTTTTTCATGGCAAATAGTACTATTAGATGAAACATTAATCCCAGTAAAATTTCAAAATGAGCATAGGCACGGTTCCGAAAATACAAGGGGGTGAAAGTAATGATTTCCACGAAAGTGATGAGAAACCATCATCACTTTCACTCCTTCATATCTCCGGAATCATACCTCATCTTAAAATTTCTCTAGAATTAATGTTACATGTATAGTACTATTTGGCATAAAGAAAGGTTTGAAATTTGAGTTCTAAAAAATGGGTCTTTTAAAATGGCGAAAAAACAGATCTTTTTACCATTTACTCTTTAAAAATGCTTAAATAATTTTGTGAACTACTGTATCTGTACTTCAATTTTATTTTACTTTAACGAGTGCAATTCTGGCGTGTCTAAATACATTACTGATTGATCGGTTTCCAGTTCCGTTCCCATTCCTAAATTCGCAAGAAAGCTCTGATGCACGAGACAAAGCTTTAATGAGCAGCCTAACTGCATCTTAAGAATAATTTCGCGTTCCAGTTTACGCTCAAGAGGCTCTTCTTAGTCGAGAAGTGCTTTCTCGCGATCGAACTTGTCCCGTGTCGGCGCAATCTCTCCAACTGTCATTGGCTTTTGCGCGGCGTCATGTATATACGGCGTCCAATTATTCGTACAATTAAACTTGAGAGACCGCATCTCTCGACACGGTGATGTGCTTCGTCGAATAATTAACGTTGGAGATCAAACACATAACGGAAATATGATGATGTGGCAAAATCGCTATTTCTAACCGAGGCGAATAATTAAAATTTCTCATTTTTCGACACAAAATGCGTTACATTGGATATCTTCTTCTAAAATCTTTTTTTCTCCTTATAGTTGGAATTATTTCTTTAAGTTAGTAGTTTAAAATTTGGCTGTACTTTTAATTGATTAATTTAACGTGAAAAAATGTTTTAATTTAATTAGATTTTTTAAATATTTTTATTTTTTGTTTTGGATTAATAGTTATGAATAATTGATTGTTTAAAACTAATAGATATATCGATTTTTTCATTAAAAAAAATCTGTTTTATATCCAAAAATGATATTGGATAGTGAGACATTTCATGTAGATTTTATATGAATTCTGAACAACATAAATGTGTAAAACACATAAAAGCACATCAAAAATTTAAATTCTCTCTTCTACATATTTTCCCAATTTTCTTACATTTTGGTATTCTTTGTGGAATATTATAATATCATAAATAAATCATAATGCTGTCATAATATCTTTGTTATGAAGATGTTATTTTAACAAACATGTCAATAAAGATGAGAGAGATTTATATATGCGTAGGGAGAACCCCGAACATGTGTCAGAATGCGCAAACATGCTCAGACAAGCAATTTAAATGCATGAAGGTGATTGAAGTTATGCAAGCGATGCCTAATTCGACTTTAAAATTTAACAAGATGCAGCACGAAAAAAAATTTGCATAATTTACACAATCTGCAATTGCCGTAAATTTCATGATTAAAACAATCAACTTAACGAAGATAACAAAAAATAAAAGATATATAAATAATAAAAATAAAATATAGAAGTATCTCATGTTTCTACATATTTTATTTTTATTATTTATATACATTATCTATATTTTATGTAGAAAATAAAAACAATATACAGCAAGATATAAAAGAATTAATTTTTTA